TAATAATAATAATAATAATAATAATAATAATAATAATAATAATAATAATAATAATAAAAATAATAATAATAATAATAATAATAATAATAATAATGATATTAATAATAATAATAATAATAATAGTAAATAAAAAATATTATACAAATAATAAAATTATTAATATTTAATAAAAAAAAAACAAATAATAATTTTCACTCAGTAAAATAAAACAAATAAAATTAATAATTCAATTTTTTCTTAATGGAAGATACACTGAAACAAAAGTACATAGTCCAGGGAATATGTGAGATGCCCTCGCACTGCTAACCACTGTGCGTCATAAAGCTAAGTATTTGATACTCGGATGCAGACAGGATGTAGCAGGAGCTCCGCTCCGCTCACGGCTTCCCACTGGCTTTCCGGTATGCTACGGTTCGGCTGGGTTGGGTTGGGATCAGCACGTTTTTCAGCATGTTGTAGCCGGAGCTAGGTGTTTCCAGGGCAACACTTCGGGCACAGGCTGGCGACAGCAGCAGCAACAGCAACAGCAAAAGCAACAGCTAAAGTAACGTCAGCAGCGACAGAGGTCAACCGACATGTGCCCATGTGCGTGGCCCAGAACATGTGGGCTGCCATCCGTGTGGTGCAGATTCATAATTTATGAGGGTAAACAAACACTTTTGGCCGGAATAACCCAATTGGTTCCTGTGCTGCCTCGACATGCTACTCTGCTACGCTGCTACTCTGGACCGTGCATTAAAGGATTTGCCATTTAGGGGGCGTGGCCGAGCTAAATATTTTGAAATTGCCCGGCATAGCAGAGGCAGCAGCAGGCAGCAGCGGGCCAGAATAGCACCACTAGCTTGTCCAGCTGCAAACTTTGCTACATTCCCCAAATTAGCCAAGTGCACAAAGTGCACGGAGCGCACGAGTACCAAAAAATGTTCTAATATTACAAAATTTATATGAAAAGCAGGAGGAGGAGGAGCAGCAGCAGCAGGAGGAGGAGCAGCAGCAGCAGACAAACTTCATTTATTTGGCATAACGAGCTGCACTCAAACTTTTATGAAAGCGCATTGGGATTGCTGGCGAAAATGGCCCACATCCTTTGCACTGCAGGTCCTTGAAATTGGATGAGCATTTGTCTGGCTGGCGGCGTCCAGAAAGTGTTGCCTCTGCAAATGTGTTTATTAAACATTTGCTGGCAAGTATTCAATTTCGTTAATGCTTTCAGCGCATTTTTCAAAGCTCCGCCAAGCCGCGCCCTGCTCGAGCCACAAATTTATTGTTTTATTTTGTTCTTTTTACGATTTTTATTTTTTATTTATTTTTTCGCCTGCATATTGGTCAGCGAGCATTTGCCCGGTCAGCTCAGCGTCGGCTACCAATTGCAGTTGTAAGTGGTTTCTCGCATTTTACCGTACAATGGTGCTCCAGAGGGCAGCCAGAGGGTTAAGGAACTCTCAGCTGCGGCTCATGAATTATGGCCAAGTGGATTGGCAATGGGGCGGAACTCTGGCCGGAACGCTTCAAACTTTTGTATTGAAATGTGCGCACATCTGTTAATAATTTAAATTGCATGGCAAAAGCGATCCGCAAAAAGCGCATGCTGAAAGCCATAATAATAACCTCTACAAAATAGCATAAAACGGGCCATTTGAGTAAATATGTGTGTGTGTGTGTGTGGCCATTGGAGTAGTTCTCAATATGTCAACAAGTTACAGCTGCAGCAGTTCACATCGGGAATACAGCTGTTCAGTATTCATAAATTACAATAAGCAAGTGATATTAATCCAAGAGTTAAAGACTTTAAGTAAAAAAATTTAGACTCTACACAAAAACGCCGAGCACAAATATTAAGCTTTTGAACAATCTATGTATATCGATGGTTGCTGCTAAGTACTTATCGATGAGCTCTGTTAAGCAATTTTTTACAATAGGAAACTATCGATTATAGATCTAGAAGATCACTGCTGATGGTATACAAATACAAACAGTCAAACACAGTCAACTGTCAAACACCTTATTTAACAAAAAATAACTCAGCTCAAAGATATTCTTAAATGTTTCGTGCTGCCATAAGTAATCGATATATCGGAAGACACATTCAATGCCAAGGCTGGCAACGCTAACTGACCTTTAAGGTTAGGCGTGATCACTGAATCAGTTAAGGTTATGCACAGTGAGAGAGGAATGGTGTCAATATAGCAAAAGCATATCCACGGCATGGAGAACTACGAGATACAGAGCATGATTGGCGAAGGGACCTACGGTGCTGTCTACAAGGCGCTGAATCGCTCGACCGGCGAGATCGTGGCCTTGAAGAGCGTGAAGCACATTCCTGGGATGGAGGGCTTGCCGTGGACTGCCATCAGGGAGATATCGCTGCTCAGGGAGCTGAAGCACCCCAACATAGTCGCGCTGCAGGACGTCGTGATGTCGGACAGCAGCATATGCTTGATACTCGAGCACCACCCCATGAGCTTGCGGCAGTACATCGATCTGCTGCCTGAGAGCGAAGTGATGGACCTTCAGCTGGTCAACAGCTACCTGTTCCAGATGACCAGCGCCATACTCTACTGCCATCGGCGACGCGTGATGCACCGGGATCTGTCGCCGCAGAACATGCTGATCGATGCGAAGGGCCACATCAAGTTGGCCGACTTTGGCATGGGCTGTTGCTTCCAGCTGCCCATGCGCGCGCTCACCCACGAGGTGGTCACGCTCTGGTACCGGCCGCCCGAGATCCTTATGGGCTGCCCGATATACGCCTGCCCCGTGGACATCTGGTCCATTGGCTGCATCTTCTTCGAGATGATCACGAAGAGGCCCCTGTTTCGCGGCGACTCGGAGATAAATCAGCTCTTTTGCATATTCCGCTTGCTGGGCACCCCCACCGAGGAGTCCTGGCCGGGCGTATCCGCACTGCCCGACTACCAGAGCACCTTTCCCGAGTGGACAGGCAATCAGTTAGGCCAGCTGATGACAGACCTGGACTTCTACCATCCCGCTGTCGACCTGCTGGCCAAGATAATCGTCTATCAGCCAGGGAAGCGCTTGTCCGCTGAGCAAATCCTAGAGCATGCGTACTTCAAGGAAGCGCCAGCGTCTTGGACTGCCTGACTGCCAATAGAAGTTTTTAATATATTCGTGTGAGATACATCTTGCTGGAAGCGCGCACGTGCTAATCGGCTTTATTAACGGATTTCTGTGCACGCGTGTAAAATTAATTGAATTATTTTACGCTACGCTTGAAGCTCATCACATCACATCACATCACAAACGCGAGTCAAAGTTAACAGGCGAGACTTAAGCTCGAGTGCCCGAAGGGTCACAGAACCTTGGCGCTTGTGCCCAGTGGGTCGAGATTTTGTCAGAAGGCAAACTGTCCTGCGTGGACAGGCAATTAATCTCCGCTCTTCATTAAATATTATTTTTTAATTTTCCTTAAGGTATTTTTCGCTTTTGGCCTACGTTTTATTTTTTCCACTGAGTGATTGGCAGTCGGGCGTTAAGAAAAACAAACACAGTAAGCGAATTCATGGAATGGAAGTTATAATTGCCCTGAAGCCATGTAGCACAGTGTAACAAGGAGTCAGAGGAAAACTGAAAAATACCCTCAATAAAAAATTGATCGCCAAAAATTAAATTTATTTAAAAAATATACATAAACAGCCCTAAGCAATGTATATATAATATTGTGTAAGTTTGAAGAAAAAAATGTATATATAATTTTTTTTTTTTTTTTTTTTTTTTTTTTTGTTAAAATTATTTAAATTATAAATTACATATAAACAGTCCTAAGATGTATGCATATATACATTTATATGTATAAACTCTGTAATTAAATATTTGAAAATTTGAAATCTATATCCATATTGATTAAATATATTTCTGTAAAATATTTTTTAATGATTTCAAGCTAAAATTACACATAAACAGCCCCAAGTCATATGCCGCAGTTGAGCACGGTTTAAAGACCCCACATATTCATAAATTGACAGATGATTTCATATATGATTTTAGCTTCAAAATGTTGCCTGAAACGAAACCAATTAACCGTAGGCAAATCATGCTACGGCGTGAGTGAGAGAGCATCGGCATGTGACATATTCAATTATAATTTTGCATGCGTATAACACGCAAGGTTCAAGGACGAACGAATCGAAATCAAATCGCTGGTCCGGTGTGTGTTGGGGTTTAAATTAAATGAAACTGCTTTAGCTAGACATATAAACACACACAGCTACAGCCACACCCATAGCCACAGCCACATATGGCCCCGAGCTGTACTTACGTGTCCCCAGGTCGAGGGCAGCCAGGAGCAGAGGGAGCCAAGCTGTCAGCCAGATGCGTTGCCAACTCAACGTCTTGGCCGTGCGTACAAATTGGCGCCGTTGTCCGGCGCTTTCGTCCGACTCGGAGACTGTCATCTTTGCAGCTGGTGGCTTCCTTGCGCTCGTCCCGTCCGTCCCACTGGCCCAGTTGCTTGCAGCGATGACACTTAGAGCTGCCTTTGTGCGCTCATTGCTAGGCGAATGCCGCCATTGGGGACTCGTTTGCGGAACCATCGGCGGCGGAGCATTGTCTCCAAGTGTTCGGCACGGCGCTGGCCTCTGATTCTGACTCGGATTCTGATTGCAGTGCGCCCCGTTGGCTGTCAAAGTTGTTCGCATTTTATGCGAATTGTGTGCGTCTATTCCCAGACTTCCCAGACGCCGCTGCTGCCCGTCCCAGATAAATAGGTTTATTGAATTAATTCGCTGGGGTCGGGAAACGCTCTCGTCGCCTTCCTTCCGTTGCTTTTCAGTGGATTGCAGCTGGCTTTATATATATATTTATTTTTTGTTTATTTCTATATATATTTATTTTTTTATATATTTCTCTTGCGTCGTTCTTTGATTTTATTGCCACGCGCTTTCATTGCTTTTCCTATTGCTTTACCTTGTGCCAGTTACAGTTACAATCTTTATTCTATTTCTCGAAACAAACTGCGCAAATTCAAGGCATATATATAATTTGATAAAGCAATCATCTAATCAATCAATATAAATACGATTCGAAATTTCGATTAGCCTTTAAATAGTTTTTATTTTTCAATTCTTGACTCTTTGATATGCCTCCAGCTGATTGGGAACTTTAACTTTTCCTTCGATCTGCTCGCTATTAATCATGCAAATTACCATCCAATTGAGAGAAGTTGAGGAAGCGCTCGTTCGATATATATTCACCTAGCATATGCCAAACTACTTTTCCCGTGAGTTATGTCGAAAGTTTTTCACAAAAGAGATTGGCAAACTTGCGGCACACTGACACTGTTTAACAAGTTTTCAGCTTTACACACATACTTATTGCACGCCCAGCTTGATAAACGATATTTTTAATGTTTCATTCCTTCGCCGGACTTAGCACGCGAGGCAAGTTATTCACAGTCGAGTTGCACTTTATGGCTTAAGCCGCCGCCTCGAAAATATTATTCAAGTTTTTATTCTATGCCGGCGTATAATACACAATAATCCCTTTTTACGACATTGCGGCCGCAGCATCGGCGAGTTTCCTTCGTGTTTTTTTTTTTTTTTTTTTTTTTTTTTTTGTGTTCGTTGCTTTGCACATTTAGTTCCCCATTCTAATATCCATTTTAATACAAGAGAAACAAACAAATTTGGAAAGTGATTTCGGCACTTGCTTAGCCAAGACGCTGACTCAGCCAAGTCGCTGGGGACACTCACACACTCACACTCACACACACACAGATCTTCAGTTCGTTCCTTAAAATAGCTTCGCAACTGCCAATTCCTTACGCCTTGCACCTATTTGTGGCACACTTGGCCGCCTCAGTTCGCATCTAAACACAGGCACTTGGCCAGACATTGGCGCCTCGCACGACTTGCTACGAACGAGCTGCGAGACCGCGACAAGTTCACATCCGTTCTGGTCCTGGCGCCCGCTGCGAGTCACGTCCGCTCGCAAAGGATGCAAATTTTCAACTGAATCGCGTGCAGCCAGCGGCAGGAAACGCGTGCTGCCCCGCTGCGCCTGCCATCTGTTGGCCAGATGGCTGTTCCAGTTGCCAGCATCCCCAGCGATACGCTTGCCTTTGCCCCTTGTTTCATTCCATTTGCCACACGTTCCGTCCGCTGTTCCAACGTTTCTCCTCAACACTTGTGCCGGCTCCTCGCTCTGCGCATGTCCTTCGCGCCTTAGCCCTGGCCAAATGGCGCTTACAATGGACTTTAAATTTATTTGCTTTCTGCTTAGCAGTTCTTTGTGAGCTTACAGAAAATTAAACAAGCCTTTCGTACTTAATATAACTACATTTGGGCAGGCCGAGCTGAGTTGAAATTATTTGTATTTGAAATCAACTGAGCGTGGGAGTCAGCTTCTTATGTAATTTAGACTTGGAGTTGTCAATGAAAATTATTTAGTAAAATTATTTCTAATTAAAATTTAAGTAAACAATTTATGAAAACTGTTTCTGCTTTAACTAATTTTATATAAATATCAAACATATTGTTATAAATATTATATAAAATATATACAATATATCAACCCTCTGGCAGCCAATTCGGTAGCTTTGCTCCAGCTGCAGTTACAGCTGTAGTTTAGGGTCTGAGCCAAGTTGGTCTTAAATCAAGTTCAAGCTCAACAGATTAGATTCGGCCATCGGCTATGTCGGTTCGCTGCGAATCCTATCGATGCTCCATATTCTTTTTGGGGTTTGTACAAATTGTGGCACTCTAAATCAAAGCCTAGACCACATTAGAGTGGCGCCTTAAATTAACTTAGCATTTCGGGCCGTTGAATTCTTTGTCTGCTCGTTTAATTTACTGCGTGTCCTGCCACAAGGAGGCAGCTCTTCCCCTGCCCCAATCTCTGTGTGACAATAAAACTACGCAACGCCATTGAATCTGACCCAATATGCGAGAGGCGTGATATATGGGGCTTTGGTCTTAATCTTGTGTGCTTTTGTCAAAGAGCAAGTAACAAATAAATAAATATTATTGAACTTTTCAAGTCCCCAGGGAGGATAGAGGTTGCGAAGCGACTCCCCCGCACAGCTGGCTGGCAAGGTATGGCGGCACCCATGGTGGCTGGGCCAGCCGGTGGAGGTCCGCTGCTGGAATTTGTGTGCCCTCACAAAGTGCCAACATAAATTCTTGCACAGTTCAATTTATCGTGTATTGACACAGCTTCCGCATAAAAAGCAACGCTGGCTAGTAAAAATGTTTACAAAGTGAAGGCGGGAATGTCGTAAAAGAGCCTCGCTCACTGACTACAGGAATGTCGTACACGCACACTCACACACGCCACACACACACACACATAGATACAGATAGCGGGAAGCCTATTGTTATTACCTCTTTGTTGTGTTAACACGCCATTTGTGGCATTTGCAGTCGTTGCCAGCCTTCAAGCTCATGTCCGCGCATCGCAGCAGTTCAACTCGAGCGAATTTGAAATGCAAATGATGGAATTTCCCCTGATGAAGCAGATGCCGAAGCAGTGGCCGCTGCCCGTCTGAAACGTTCAGCTTTTGACTCGGCAAATAATCAAAATATACTTTATGTCGCACAGCCGACTAACTGTGTGCAAAGCTCATGAATTCGAAGGACAAACCCCCCGCCGCCGCCGCGCCGCCAGCACATGTTGTCCACACTCGAGCCCCGCTCACACTGGAGCCCCGTGCACAGCTGTTAATTTGAGTGTTTCGCATTATGTGCCCGGCTCGTAAACTCGACGAAGTGTTTATGGCTGAAAATAACAACTACATTTTTATAAATACCCATTATAAATTCATGCTTTATGCGTGCTGCGATTGCCCTTGTCTGCGCCTGTGCCCGTTCCCGTATTGATATCGTGAGGATAACAAGAGTTCAAACTTAGGCAAAACTGATATATGTGAAGAGCTTAGTATCTAATACTATCTATTGTGATTGTGGAGCATGCACGCTTTGTGTAAACTATTTAGTATTTATACATCAATTGGTTCAGTTCAAGCCCAACTCCGTTAAGTTTTATTACCAAACTTGGCTTTTGGGTTGTTTAGTTGTTGCTGAGCATTGTTATATCTTATGATCACATTATATTGACAGTTATAAATGAGCTGCTGAATTTATGGTTGT